CTGGGGCGTCCTGTCCGTTGTAGGATATTTAGCTCCATCCTACCACATAGGATGTACAATGTAGGATGGTGTTAGCATTGTAGAATTTTAGGGGACATTGCCAAATGTCCCTTGAAGAACAAAATTACCCTTGGTTGAGACTCACTGAATTAAATAAGACTTAGAAACTTCCCTGAAAAATACGAGAAACAAAGCTTTCACAGAAGGGGCCGGGGCACGGTGGCTCACGCCTGTCATCCCAGCACTTTGGGAGACTGAAGCGGGAGGACCACCTGAGGTCAAGAGTTCGAGACCTGCCTGGCCAACATGGTGAAACCCCATTTCTACTAAAAATACAGCAACTAGCTGGGCTTGGTGGCAGGCACCTGTCATCTCAGCTACTTGGGAGGCTGAGGCAGGACAGTTGCTTAAACCCAGGGTGAGGGGATGGGGATGGGTGGCAGAGGTTGCAGTGGGCCAGCATCATGCCACTACACTCCCGCCTGGGCTACAAAGTGAGACTCTGCCTCAAAGAAAAGAAAGTTTTCACAGAAGGGACTGTGTAATAAACGTGGATGGGCCGGGCACGGTGGCTCACGCCTGTAATCCCAACACTTTGGAAAGCCAAGGCGGGTGGATCATGAGGTCAAGAGCTTGAGACCAGCCCGGCCAACAAGATGAAACCCCATCTCTACTAAGACTACAAAAAAAAAAAAAAAAATTAGCTGGGCAGGGTGGTGGGCGCCTGTAATCCCAGCTACTCAGACACTGAGGCAGGAGAATCACTTGAACCCGAGAGGCGGAGGTTGCAGTGAGCGGAGACCGCGCCATTGCACTCCAGCCTGGGCGACAGAGCCAGACTTTACCTCAAAACAAACAAACAAACAAACAAAATGTGGATAACCCCCTCTGGTCAATAGATGATGAATAGGATTCAACAAGAAAAAGAATATGGCCGCCTCTACTGAAACTTGACCCAGCAATCCCACCTGACTCAATTCACCCAATTGAAATTGAAAAATCCAGTAGGAGGCCAGGTGCAGTGGCTCATGCCTTTAATCCCTGTGCTTTGGGAGGCCGAGGCAGGTGGATCACTTGTGGTGAGGAGTTCAAGACCAGCCTGGCCAACATGAGGAAACCCCGTCTCTACTAAAAATACAAAAGTTAGCCAGGTGTGGTGGCGTGGGCCTGCAATCCATTACTCAGGAGGCTGACGCAGGGGAATCGCTTGAACCCAGGAGGCGGAGGTTGCAGTGAGCAGAGATCGCGCCACTGCACTCCAGCCTGGGCAACAGACCAAGACTGTCTCAAAAAAAAAAAAGCTAGGTACAGTTTGATTCCTTGCTTAGAAAATAAAAATGCACTCCATGAAAAATAAAAAGGCAGCTTCCATCAGTTTATATAACATGTTTCTCTTTTTAAAAATGCGTATATATTTACACCATGCAAATGAGGAAGGCTGGAAAGTTTTTGAAAATGCTAGTTGTGCTGGGCATGGTGGCTCACACCTGTAATCCCAGCACTTTGGGAGACCAAGGTGGGTGGATTACGAGGTCAGGAGTTCAAGACCAGCCTGGCCAACACGGTGAAACCCCGTCTCTACTAAAAATACAAAAATTAGCCGGGCGTAGTGGCACGTGTCTGTAATTCCAGCTACTTAGGAGGCTGAGGCAGAAGAATCGCTTGAACCTGGGAGGTGGAGGTTGCAGTAAGCTGAGATCGTGCCACTGCACTCTAGCCTGGGCAACAGAGCCAGACTCTGTCTCTAAAAAAAAGAAAGAAAGAGGCCGGGCGCAGTGGCTCACGCCTGCAATCCCAGCACTTTGGGAGGCCGAGGCAGGTGGATCACGAGGTCAAGAGATCGAGACCATCCTGGTCAAAATGGTGAAACCCCGTCTCTACTAAAAATACAAAAAATTAGCTGGGCATGGTGGTGTGTGCCTGTAATCCCAGCTACTCAGGAGGCTGAGGCAGGAGAATTGCCTGAACCCAGGAGGCGGCACTGAAGGCAGTGTAAGACCACGCAAGTGCACTCCAGCCTGGGTAACAAGGAAAAACGGGCTCAAAAAAAAAAAAAGAAAGAAAAGAAAAAAGAAAATGCTAGTCGTGTCTGAAAATGTGTGGTTTGATTTTTGCTTAGCTGTTAAGTTCTGATTTCTTCCACACTGATTGCACACTATGTGTGTTAGTTTATAAAAGTATCGGCTATATTCTTTTTTTTTTTTTTTTTTTGAGGTGGGGGTTTGATTTTGTTTCCCAGGCTGGAGTGCAATGGGTTGATGATCTCGGCTCACTGCAACCTCCACCTCCCGGGTTCAAGCGATTCTCCTGACTCAGCCTCCTGAATTACAGGCATGCACCACCACACCTGGCTAATTTAGGTATTTTTAATAGAGACGGGGTTTCACCATTTTGGTGAGGCTGGTCTCGAACTCCTGACCTCCCAAAGTGCTGAGATTACAGATGTGAGCCACCACGCCCAGCCCTTGGGTGTATTCTTACATACCCTAAGGGTGTAATAATCCTGAGAATTTGTAACCATTTGACCCAGGAAATCCAAATGCGATTGGTCATGCTGCAGCACCCTAGCCTTCTATCCCTGGGGCGGGACCACTCTTTCCCTTCTTGTCTCACTTCCCCACCGCTCCACGGCAAGTTCCTGGGGTCACTATCTGACGTTTAAGTGCCCTTCAATCCTCATCTTGGGGTCTGTGTGGGGGAACCCAAACCATGACAGCCTCTCTTTATTCAAGTCGTCTGGGAGAATCCTGACGTTGACCCAAGACAGAGCTGTGGGTTCCCCACCTATATTGGGGAAGTTTTATGACATGAGAGGGGACACAGGGCTCTCACCACACCCTCACCCCACAGTGGCTCCATTGGCCAGCCTTTTTTGTTTGAGGGCATCTTGCTCTGCTGCCCAGGCCGGAGGGCAGTGACTTGATCTCGGCTCACTGCAACCTCCACCTCCCGGGTTCAAGAGATTCTCCTGCCTCAGCCTCCCGAGAAGCTGGCATTACAGGCATCTCCCACTACGCTAGGCTAATTTTTGTACTTTTAGTAGGATGGGGTTTCACCATGTTGGCCAGGCTGGTCTTGAACTCCTGACCTCAAGAGATCCACCAACCTTGGCCTGCCAAACTGCTGGGATTACGGGCGTGAGCCACCGCACTGGGCCCTTCAAGGTCTGTTTTTGGTGGACTCAAACCATGACAGCCCATCTTTATTCAGAGTCATCTGGGAGAATCCTGAAGTTGACCCAAGAGCGAGCTGTGGGTTCCCCGCCTATATCGGGGAAGTTTCTCCACTGGGCAGCTTCTCTACTCCACCTACCCCGGTTTTCTCCCAAATCTTGTTGCGTAGACAGAGGTGGGGAATGTGGGCAGTGTTTTGACACCAAGCAAAACCCCACAGACTTCTGTGAAAACCAACCAGGAACATTTATTTAAAATATAAGCAAGTTATCCCCCAGAAGGTGAAGCACCGCTGGCTGGTTCTGACATTCAATTCAGGCTGAAGGCACAGCACCTCCTCTGGCCCTTGTGGGGAAATGTCTCGCCCAGGCCACGGGCGGTGCCCCAGTGCAGCTGAGCCCCCGAAAAGCCCCCAAACACACGATCCCTCCGAAGGCTTGAATACAGCAACTTCATCAAGCAGCCAGGGATCACACCTGAGACACAAGGGCAGGGAGGCAAAACACAGGGAACCAGGGATGGGCAAGGGACACCCAGCCCCGGTCGCCAACAGGCGCCCCCTCCAGGGGGGCTGACATGTGACCGTGGGGCCACCAGGACCTGTGGTTGCCCTGGTGGGGGAAGAGCTACCCTCCCTCTTGGGTGGTGGGGGGATGTTATCTGCACACAGCTCAGATGACCAGGGACACAGGAGGAATCAAACATCAGTCAACCACCCTTCAACCCAACTGGGAGTCTGCGAGGCCTGGCGCACGGTGCTCAGTAAACGCTTGTGGATGTAGAAGGGACCGATCTCGTTCGTCTCTGTGCCCTAGCACTTGGCATGTAGTCCAACGCCCGGTGGATGATGAAAAATGCAGACTGAACAGCTGTCACTCTTTTGTATCACTAGTGCCTGGCACACAGTCAGTGCTCTTGAGGTGTGTGGGCAAGAAGCCAATTAGAGTGAAAAGTTCCCACACCATCTAGCAGTGAGGGAAAAAGGAAAAAGATGAAAAGTACCTTGTTTGCTTCCATTCGCATCCCAGAGCTCAGCTCCCTGCACACGGCAGGTACTCAGTAACTGTACCGAATCCAGAACTTATCTCTGTGACGTGAATGCCAGGCACACAGTAGGTGCTCAATATGTGCATGAATAAACGGATGGAAGGATCTTATTTATCTCAATAGTCTCAGCGCCTGGGCTGGGCACAGTGGCTCATGCCTGGAATCCCAGCTCTTTGGGAGGCCGAAGTGAGCAGATCACCTGAGGTCAGGAGTTTGAGACCAGTCTGACGAACATGGTGAAAACCCATCTCTACTAAAAATACGAAAATTAACCAGACGTGATGGTGCGCACCTGTAGTCCCAGCTACTTGGGAGGCCGGAAAACAAGAATCACCGGAACCCGGCAGGCACAGGCTGCAGTGAACCAACATCACACCACTGTACTCCACCCTAGGTGACAGAGCAAGGCTCTGTCTTCATGAAAAAAAAAAAAAAAAAGGTCAGGCGCAGTAGCACACACCTGTAATCCCAGCACTTTGGGAAGATGAAGCGGGTAGATCATGAGGTCAAGAGATGGAGACCATCCTGGCCAATATGATGAAACCCCGTCTCTACTAAAAATATAAAAATCAGCTGGGTGTGGTGGCACATGCCTGTAACCCCAGCTACTAGGGAGGATGAGGGAGGAGAATCGCTTGAACCCACATGGTGAAGGTTGCAGTGAGCCGAGATCACGCCACTGCACGGCAGCCTGGCCACAGAGCGAGACTCTGTCTCAAAAAAAAAAAAAAAAAAACTCCCAGAGCCTGGAATGTCACCCAACACACAGTAGGCACTCACTAAATCCGTGGGTGAATTTTAAAAATGAGTGTATCACTAGTGCCTGCTTCTTAATCTGATCAGTAACTGCTTGATGACTGAATCGATCATTGATGGAGAGAATCATTCTGCCTCATTCACTGCTATAACGTGGGAACCAGGTATACCGCAGGTGCTTAATAAGTGTTGGGCACATGAACAGATGAAGAGGGTTTGGTTCATCCCAATTCCCTGGTGCCAAGTCCCGTGGCTGGCGTGCGGTAGGCACTCCACTTATGCTGCCTGTGTGCATGTGATTGCTGAGCAAGAGCCGGCTGGACACCATCCCACACAGGGAGCCCTCCCTGGCCTGCCAAGGGGTCCAGAGGTGGCCCCGATGTCCTCAGTGAGCACGTGGGGGCTGGGCCAGCGACGACTACTTTGGCTTTCTGGCTGCCGCCCCTCAGAGTTCATCCCGGGCGGCACTGTCCAGCGGGGACTGGAGCACGTCTGAGTTCTTGGCCTCCCGGCTCAGCGCCTGCTGCTCCCGCATCTTCTGGGACTTGGCGCGGTCCCAGTCGGTCTTGACCTGCTCATTGTTCCAAACGACTGAGGTCTCTGTGTCGCTCACATAGCCGTCGTCCCCTGTGTAGTGTGTGGGGTAGACCAGCAGCGGCTCCACGGAGAAGGCAAGCAGGTTGCGGAGGGAGAAGTGGGCCTTGTACTCGGACCTGCGGGGAGCAGGAGGGGAATGAGGGGCAGCAATGGCTTCAGGGGAGGGGGAGAAGGGACGGCTGGAGGAAAAATTGGGGGTGAGGAAGAAGTCAGCAAGGATAAAGACATAAGTGGGTTGGGTGAGGTGGCTCACGTCTGTAATCCCAGCACTTTGGGAGGCCGAGGCGGGTGGATCATGAGGTCAAGAGATCAAGACCATCCTGGCCAACATGGTGAAACCCCATCTCCACTAAAAATACAAAAAATTAGCCAGGCTTGGTGGCGCGTGCCTGCAGTCCCAGCTACTCGGGAGGCTGAGGCAGGAGAATCGCTTGAACCCAGGAGGCGGAGGCTGCAGTGAGCCGAGATTGCACCACTGCACTCCAGTCTGGCAACAGAGCAAGACTCCATCTCAAAAAAAAAAAGACGAAGTGGACAGGGTATACAAATGGAGACAAATCTGGGAGGGGCAAACGGAGGGAGAAGTGGGCAGAAGAAAAGACTTCTCCTCGGAGCCCTGAGTCTCACACCCCCCGCCCCCAGGACAGACCCACTGGAGACCCCAGCCCAGCAGCCGCCTGCCCCTCTCACACTGGGTGCTTGTCAAACATGACGGGCAGGAACTCGTCCACAGGCAGCATCTTGGAGAGCGGCTTGGCGTCGAGTAGCTTGCGGGCGCCTTGCAGGGAGATCACGTAGGCCAGGGTCCAGTAAGAGTAGTCGGCCTCCACCAGGTTCCTCACACGGGGCACAGCCTTCTCGGGGTGCTCCACCTGCATCCGCTTCCGGCCCACGTAGCTGGGGTGCAGGATTGGGCCTGTCACTCTCCTCCCGCCCTCCAAAGGGCGCTTGCCCGGAAAGCCAGGAATCTAGTTACCCGTCAGACCCCGGGATGGGAGTAGACTCAGAATGTTTGCGGAGCAACAAGAGGAAACTGTGACTGGATGGAGCGAATGCAGGAGCCCAGGGGTCTGGGGGTCATGGGGGGAGTGTGAGTTTTTCCCAAGGGCGTAAGGGAGCCACGGAGGATTTGGAGCTAGGGAGAGCAGGATCACGCAGATGTCCTCTGAGGCTGAAACTACTCTGAGTTCAGAGGGCGGTGGGGATGCAGGTGGGAGAGGTGCCGGGCTGTGGGCAGCAGTCAGGAATAAAGGGGTGCAGTTACTATTCACATGGGGCAGTGTCCCCGGAATGCAGATTAGGGTAGTGCGCATGGAAGGGAAAGAAAGAGGAGGAAGGGAGGAGACAAACCAACCCACCTACAGGAGAGAAGGACGGCTCCAGTCCTGAAAACACGTTGATGGTACTCCCATCCCAGGCCTGGTCTAAGACCCAGGTGACCTGGCCATGCCCCAACGCTCTTCAGCCACACCTCCAGCTCTGACCACGCCCTCCATGACCACGCCCCCATGCTCTTCAGCCACACCCACAGGCTGGTCGGTCAAATCTTAACCATACCCAGCTCCACAGGCCTCAATCAAGTCTCTAAGCCCTGACCAAGCCTGCAGGCTTCTGACGAGGCCTTTTGAGTTCTGGGTGATCCTTCCAAGGCCCTTCCCTGTAGGCTACAGCCCTGACAGTGCTCTCAGGCCCAGGGACCTGCGATGCTTCCAGGAGTTGGCCACGTCCCAGGCCACGCCTACCACCCGATCACACCCAGACATACAGGCTCAAGGCTCAGCTGCAGTGCTCTGGCCACGCCCCTAGGACCCAGCTCCACTCCGCCTCCCAGCCCCACCTCTAAGCCTTGGCTGTGTACCCAGGCCCCAGCTCCACTCTGCCCTCAGCCCTACCTAAGTCCTGGCCTTACCCCAGGCCCCAGCTTCACTCCACCCTCAGACCCCGACTCACATGAGGTCCCAATCGAGGCCCTCCCGCTCCACATCCCGCATGAGGTTCATCAGGCGTCTCTTGAAGAAGATCTCAAAACGCAGGTCGTCCTCAAACACGAGCGATTTCTCCAGCCCCCGGTCCACCACCTGAGTGAGGAAGCCCAAGTCAAGGCCAGGCCCGGCCCTAAAGCCCAGAGCTCTGCTTTGAGAAGCTCTGAGAGACCCGGAGAGAAGCCAACACATCTCCCCTCCTCTCCTAGCTCCAGGGGCACATGGACATCCAAACCTCTGCCCTCTGCCAGCCGTGATGGATCTCAGGAGAGGAAGGCCTCTCAGCCCCTCAAACGCCCACGCCTCATGCACCTCAGCCTTGCAGCCGCACAACCCCATTCGGCTTCAC